AAAAAAAATACTGTGAGGGTAAAATAAGATAATGCTTGTAAATTGCTTTTGTGTATCACGAAGCCCTATGTAACTGTTATTTTGTTTCCTTATTTAGCTCAGTAGGAGTTGTCTACATAGGCTGAAAATTCTTGGTGATTTATTAGTTAGTATATAGGATAACTATTGTGACTATTGTGACATAGAGACACAAAATGTATGATGGCTCAAACACAATAGAAGCTTATTTCCTGTTGATAGTGTTAATAGTCCAGGGATGTTCAAGGCCAGTGTTCATGGTAGGGAGTTCTGCTCCACAGAGTTGTTCAGGTATCCTGACATACGGAAGTTTTACTCTCTTACATGTGGCTTCCTAAGCCACACTGGTTGTAGTTATCTAGCTCTCAGAAAAGAATATGGAGGACAAATGTAAGTAATTTTCATTGACCAGGCCGGAGGAGACACACATCATTTTTTCTCACATTCTATTTGCTACATTTAACTACAGAGGGAATTTAAAAATGTAGACTAAAAATGTGTCTCAGAAGATAAAATTAGTTTGTTGACCATTTAGAAGTCTTTGCCACAGAGGAATAAGGATAAAGCCAGTTAATCTCTGCATAAAAGAAGCTGAATTAGATGAAAATCAGATCTGGAATCAAACCTAGAATCGACATTTATACTATAGAAAAATTTGTATTACATTCACAACAGGTAATCACACTTTGAAGGCCACTTGCATAACTTTTTTTTTTTTTTTTTTTTTTTTGACAGAGTCTTACTCTGTCACCCAGGCTGGAGTGCAATGGCATGATCTTGGCTCACTGCAATATCCGCCTCTCTGGTTCAAACAATTCTCCTGCCTCAGCCTCCTGAGTAGCTGGGATTATAGGCACCCGCCACCACACCCAGCTAATTTTTGTATTTTTAGTAGAGATGGGATTTCACCATGTTGGCCAGACCAGTCTTGAACTCCTGACCTCACATTATCTGCCTGCCTCAGCCTCCCAAAGTGCTGGGATTACAGGCGTGAGCCACCTTGCGTGGCTGGCCTAACGTTTTTGGTTACGTACTTCTGTAAACATATTTGAGCTTGCGTTCTCAATGTACCTATTTTAAAATAAATAAATTACAAAGAGTACCACCACTGTTCATTATGTATAATATTAGCAATTTAAACCCTTGAACAAGAATATTTAAAAGGAATAGATAATTATGTCATAGATAAATTTAAAATAAATTTTGGGCTACTCTGTCTGTGGAGCAGCCCTGCTCTGTCTGTTGAGCAGCTATTTTCTTGTACTCTGTTGCTCTAACAAACACGCTTTTCTTTCACTCAAAAAATTTTGTTTACTGAAAGTATAAAACACTCTTTGCTTTTAATTTAAAAATATTAGTATAATTTTAGGGCCTGCTCTTCTATAGTGTCTCTTCCAATGCTAAAATACGATAATTTCTTTGCTTTTTTGATACCTTAATTTTACAAAATTATCATATTAAACTACCTTAAATGATATTTTTCTAAATGGCTGAATGTAAACATTTTATATGTATACTTGATATGTACTTGATGTATTTAAATATAGTATTATCTTTATCACAGATCTCTACCCAAAGTGGAAGACCAATTGAAAAAAGGTAAAACACTTTAAAAATTTTGTTCTCTCATTTTTTAATCTTTATCAGTTCGCATACCTAAGTAATGAAAAGTACCATTCTAAATTTAATATCACAAAATTCCTTGATTTTTATGTTTCCTATGATATTGCACTCTTATCTTTGAAACTAATTTTAAGTAGAAAATGTTTGAAACTTTGCAGTCAAAAATCAAAATTAAATGAAAAATTTAAATTAAGGACCAAGTCTATGTACAAAACACTTTTTTTCTATCAACGTTAATTAAAATTTCCAAATAGTGAGGAACTAACCCTTATTTTCAACTTAGTTATCAAGATACATGAGCTAGATACATAAACAATTTATTTAAAAATCCTTTTTGCCTTTCATTTTAACTCAGTCACTACACACACACATACATATGTACATGCATGTGCATAAATGAGTTGATTGATTCAATTAAATCTTATAGTTTTCACTTGTGAGTCTCTTTGATTAGCATATTATGATTGATTCACAGCGTTTTTTTGATTCACATTACCATGCAGTAAAGAGGAATTACCTAGAAATATGCATTTATGTACTTCATCACCATTTTAAATATATCTGGATTATAGACCCAGGTGAATTAGCAAGAATTAGGTAATAAGTATAATGATTAATGGCCAGAAGTTTTGAAAATGTTCATTTTAAATGTTTGTTGTGAATGTTTATATTTAAAAGTATCTATTTTAAATACTAACTAAACATATACTAAAAACTATATGTTTTAAATACAATATGTAAGAGAAAATTAGACATTGGTCCACTTGTTGATTTGCAAACTTATTATGGTTGGTTTCTTATTACTGATATCTTTATATTTTAAATATGTATAGTCAGCATTATAAACATTTGGAAAGGCATAAGAAAAAGTATTAATTATCTTCAGCAGTAATGGGAACTTAGCCATCTTACGTATCGTGTAGAAATGGGAAGGAATAAAGCATGGTGCTCTTATATTCATACTCAGATTATGGTAGAGCATGGAATACTCCTATAGTTTTCCATGTAATCATGGTGAAGGATAGCTTTGGAAAATCCTGGAGAGCCAGTAGTTTATCACCCTGAAGAACACGAGGTGGTAACTTTTGATGTACTTTGTTTTAAAATTGAACATTTAGTTGCTGCTGATAAATGTGATAGGCTCTTTGTACGTTGATAAGTTTCAGAAAATAGAAACATTCATTTAAAAAAAGCATTTTAAATAGTTTCTAGTCTGTATGAAGACATGATAAGGCAGTCTCAGTTACTTTCCATGGGCGTTTGGAAAAATCTTAAAGAAGGGGTTATGTTAATGTTACCTAGTCCAGTCCTCATTCAACTTTTCTGATAAGTCACATTTTAGAATTTAAATTGGAAGTGACAGAATGGAAGAAGGGTTCAATGGAGAACAACAGAATGAGGATGATAGAGAATATAGGACATCAAGATTAAGAAAAAATTATAGAATGAATATATCAAATTATTTATCTGAAATGCCCTTTTTTCCCTAGAAATGTTAATTGATGTAATAACTTCAGGAGGAAGATTATTTTAATTCATTTCAATTCAGGTTAGCTCTAATAAGGAAACACTAACTGAGCATCCATGCTGTGCAAGGCACTGTGATGGATATTATGGGATATAAAGGGTTTTAAATATATGGTCATTGCCCTCAGTGCATTAACAGTCTAGTAGGGCTGACTAGACATGTACAAAAATAAGTGGAGTATAATGCAGACATTGCATTCTACAAAACATTACCAAGAAGCTGCATCAAACAGAGGAAAAGTTATTTCTGACTGGATTAAGAATTACGTACCATTTAATTTAAGAAAGATGGTTGGGTTGGATTTTAACAGGGAGATGTGAAGAAAGGGTGTGCCAAGTGGACAGAACTTTGCTTTCAGGCAAAGATGAGGATGTTTGGAATCTATACAGTGTGCTCAGGAAAAGGCCAAAAATTCATTTTTTTTTTTGGATTTTAGACTTAGGACAGTAATGGGAAATATGAGATGAAATAGGTTGTTTCAACTTGATAGGTTTTATAGAATTGCCCTTAATAGCTTTAGGTTAATTATTATATATAATATAATATATTATATATATTACATATATGATAATGTATCATATATTATATATTATATTATATTGCTAAACATAATAAAAATTCAAACTATTAAGCACATGCCACGTATTATTCATCAACCTTCATTTTGGGTTACTTCTTAGATCCTAATAGAGTTTCTGAAATACTTTGGAAAAGTCTCCCAAACCTTCAGAGAGTGGATGGGAGCGAAGTAAGGAGACCCCACCTGAGCAGATCCATGGTATTGCTTATAATAAAGTACAGTTTTGCTCTTTACGACATTTAGCAGTTTATTTTGGCTTAGGGAATGAGTTAGTGATAAACAGTTAATTAAACAATAATAATGTATTGTTTCACATCATGTGCATTGTTAGCTTAAATGTTTTGCGGCACTGAAATTCACACCTTTTAGAAATGTAAGTATCAACTAATTCATGGTGTTTTATTTTTAAGAGTTACACAGTCAACTTACTTCTTTCTAAATACTTTCTTTTTTCTCCCCATTACTACTTGAGTTTGCTATAAAGCACAAAAACATACAAGGGAAGTGTATTGGTATGTGTCCATTTTTTTCTCCATAGATGATTAGCTGTTAAATTCACTCATTTATTCACCAACTCATTCAACAGATACTTTTGTCACCTTCATATGCCCAGTACTATTTTGGGTATTGTGTTTTCCTGAAAAATAAGACAGACACGACGCCTTCTCTTGTGGTACTTACATTCTAACAGGAGAGACAAAAAATAACAAGTAAAAATAAATGAACAAGATAATTTTAGAGACTAATAAATGAAAATGAAACTACACATCAGTCACAGGGAAATATAATTTAGATTGGATGATCAAGGAAGGTATTAACAGTGAAGAAAAGGCATTATCTAATTGTGAAATAAAAGCTGTTAAAATAGTTTTTCTTTTCAATTTTTACCAAAAGAAACCTCTACAAATGAAAATTTATGTTACTACTAAAAGGTCTAGACTAGAGGAGCTTTTAATATCCTGTTAACTGTTACACAAGGGGCATATTACTAGTGACCCAAATAGTAGGCAAAAGGTAGATTTTATAGAGGAAACCTTACAATCTAGGAAGCAATAGAGGGTACAATATCCCCTAAGCTGTCATTTTTCCATAGAGAAATGGACTTAGATTGAAAAAAGCTGGACTCACCATAGAAAAGGTTCCTGAGAGGAACCCCCTTCTCACATATCACTTTATAAAATTATAGAAGAATTAGGAGGGCATAGAGAGCACCTAATCAACCATGTAACACAGAGCTTCCTGGTTGGGGCAATGGCCTTATGGGAAAAAGAAGGAAAGAGGTACTCTGTATACTAATGTAGCTGGTATCAGCCAGTCAAATAGTCCTGGTGAGCCAGCTCTGTGAAACCACAGAAAGAGGGAAGAAAGAAAATCACCAGGACCACTCATAAATAAGGATTTGTCTCTCTGCTGTCCACCCTTTGGTCTTGGAGACTCATTATTATAGGTCTTTCTGTTAGCTCTGTCTGACACCCGGTTCTGAACACACCAATTTCCTTAGTATTGTCTGAGAGAAGAATATTAATAAGGTCACCAGCTGGGTTGGATGAGGATGTAGAACCAAAATCTTCCTAAGTTAACATTATGAACTCTTTTTTTTTTTTTTTTTTGAATGTGTGTTCCATATTTGCCATTGGAAAGAGAAAGTCATTTATCACTTCCCTTGAACATCCACCTCCAACCATTTCTCAGGGTCAGATATGTTCACATCTGACAAACAGACCTGTTTTTCTCTGTGGAGATGAATCAGGTTGTCTTTTTTCTGGAGTGATAGTTCTGTGTGGACTCCAAAGTTACCATTTTGCCATCATAGGTCACCTGTGGGGTTAGAAGAGGGTATCTGCAGCACCCTCTGATGCTTTTAAATGAGCAATGTGTTTTTCCACCTATCCGCTGAGATCAAAGCAAAGGGGAAAAAGGAGTATACTATTCCTCTTGAAATGATATCTTTCTCTACTCCCTAACTTCTAGGTACGTTGGAGTTTAACCATGAAAGAGGGGCCCTTGCTTGGTATGGTATCCTGTAGCTTATAAACAATTAGGGAAAAGTGGACTGACAAGCCCTATGGAGGTCGTTTTCAAAGAGGCTGCCTTAAATGGCAAGTAGAGTAAGCTTGATGGACAACAGTGGCTTCTCTATTTTTTTTTTTTTTTTTTGAGATAGGGTCTCACTTTGACCCCTAGGCTGGAGTGCAGTGGCACGATCATGGCTTACTGCATCTTGAACCTCCCTTGCTGAAGCCATCCTCCCATCCTAGCCTTCTGATTGGCGGGGGCCCTAGGCATGTGCCAGCATGGCCAGCGAATTGTTTTATTTGTATAGAGATACAGCCTCCCTATCATGCCCAGGCTGGTCTTGAACTCCTAGACTCAGGGGCTTTTCACACCTCAGCTTCCTAAAGATTTCTGTCTTTTTAATAAACTCCTTATTAGGCATTGTGTTCCTTCATGGTGGGATGGATTTGAACAGGGACCCAAAACTAAACTATAGATGATAGTTACACATTCTTAATTGGCTTTTTCATGTCAAATGTTTTCCTTTAGATTTCATTCCTTCTCATGGACACATACACACAGAATATAAGAACTGAGTTTGTGATTAAGTTGTAAATATTTCCTTGGGCAAAGGTTATCTGAGAATAGCATGTGTAGAGTTCTGTCCTAGGGGATTCAATAGCCTGACTGAGTAACTAGGCTCATTAACAATGGCTCATTAGTCTTTCCAATAGTGCAGTTCAGTCAGTCTGAGGAGATTGTGCTCTATGGCCATGACGAATGCCTGAAGTTTACTCAGTTCTGAAGAATGTCCAATACTATATGATCTCAGCAACTTACCATCATTATGGTGAAGGACTGTAGCACTCCATAAGATTTCATGACCTTTGACAGAGGCTTTTCCATTAGGGAATCATACTTTCTTGTCAAGTGGCAAATCTTTTAGGCAAGTGCCTTACTGAGTCAATGGTTTGTTTAAAACAGCAAAGGGATCTTCTGTGTGCTTGTGAGTGTAAGGCCATATTTTATGAATTTGTCTAAGGTCAAATTGATTGGATATGCTATATTCCCCTTTTAATAGAATTTTCCTGGGCATGTACCACTTTATCAGATTTTGGATTAGAGAAGACTCATATGGGATAGGAATGTTGGGTTGAAGAGTACGAAAAATCTGCCCCATTAGGACTTAGTAATAGGCTAGCAACCACTGACATGCCACTCAGCAGAAGGAAATCACTTAGTCCAAAGATGTAGGAGATGACAAATAATTTATTGAAGTGTTGTTGCCAAAAGCTTCAGTCAGAAAATGGTTTCTTACAGGTATGTGTGATCCCATGAGTTTGAAACACATGACAAAATCTAAAGTTAGAACTTGTTTTAATGATGCCTAGACCTCTTCCAAGGCTTCTTAATATATGGGCTTCTATTTAAAATTAGTTGCATTGATACAGTGCTTTGAAGAATGACCAGGTATAGAATGTGATGTCACCACTACCTAACAAGGAAAATCCTTTGTTGTTGGGACTGGAGGCCCAGTAAATTTTCCTTTAAGCCAGCAGTTTCCAGCCTTTTTGGCACCCGGGACGTTTTGTGGAAGACAAATTCTCCACAGATTAGGGTGGAGGGGGTGGTTTCAGGATGATTCAGATACATTACATTTATTGCACACTTTATTACTATTATTACATTATAATATATAATGAAATCATTATACAACTTACCTTAATGAGAGTCAGTGGGACCACTGAGCTTGTTTTCCTGCAACTAGATGGTCCCTAATCTAGGGGTGATGGGAGACAGTGACAGATCATCAGACATTAGATTATCATATGCAGCATGCAGCCTAGATCCCTTGCATGCACAATTCACAATAGGATTTGTGCTCCTATGAGAATCTAATGCGTCTGCTGATCTGACAGGAGGCTGAGCTCAGGTAGTAATGCAAGTGATGAGGGAGTGGCTATAAATACAGAGGAAGCTTTGCTTGCTCACTCACCACTTGTCTCCTGCTGTGTGACTCAGTTCCTAACAGGCCCTGAACTGGTACCAGTTTGTGGTCCAGGAGTTGGGGATGCCTGCTTTAAGTGTTACTGAATGTATCTTTTTGTTACTGTCCAGATGATGACTGCCTTCTCCAAATTCATCTGAATGCTAGGGCCCTGGATCATTTAAAGTTATCTTTAATCAGGTATGCCTAGACAACATCTAATGTTTCTTTGGTGTTGATCACAGTCGTCAGTGTGATAAAGTATCTGGAGATTGCTAGCAGTGTACATTTTACCATGTTTTGTCCCACACTGAAAATGTATAACAAGAATTAAAACATTCTCAAGAAAGATTACTAAAGGTATATTTACTAATCTTGGCATACCTTGCCAAGACTTCAGCTACATACATGTATCAGTAGTGGCAGCAATTTATTCTATAGCTTGTGTAATGACAGAGACTGGAGTAAGTAGAGCTTTTTATTTCCCTGTTTAAGCTTCAGTAGTCCACTTCAGAGTATCCAGTGTTTTTTTTTTTTTTTTCTTAACTAAACAGACTAGCACTGCAGAGTCCCTGTATGCATTACATTTTATTTGAAGAATAATTTATTATTACTCTTCCTGTATGCAATATTATGGAATGATCTTGCCAGTTCAGTTTTTCACCATGTGCCTGGCCAGCCATTATGGAGGTTACCAATAGATAATTAACCAACTAATATGGCAGTGTACCTGTTTTCAGTTTAATAGTTCAGAATGTCCTTTTAAATTATGTAATCTGAGAAAGAAACAGCAAACAGTATTAATATAAAGTACAAAAATAGTAGCCTTGTGTGTTAGGGTTCCCCAAGACTACTCTCCTCACTAGGAGAGCTCACAGCACTCATCATATAGTCATTATGATGACCATGATTTATTACATAAAAAGGATACAAAGTAGAATGAGCAAAAGGAAAATGTGCATGGGAAAAATCCAAAAGAAACATCCTACTCAGTCTGAGATTATGGTGTCCCATAATTCCATGGCTACCTGATCTCTATAGCCATTCTTACTGAGAACAAGTAATTTGTTATCTCTTGAGTTTTGCTGACTGTATATGATATGGACACTGAGTTATTGACCATTTCAACTTAGTAGTTTGTCTGGTATAAGGCTTCCAGTGGAATTATTTTCCACTTCAGTGGTATCCCAAACTTTATGTTTTCAAAAGCTACATATAACATACACAAGTCATGTACCACTAGCTACACACTTATTAGGAGAATAGCAAGCAGAGCACATTGCAATATTACAGGTATCAATGAAAGACTTGAAAGTCTCTGCTAAACTACCAAGTAGGGAAGGGAGATATGAACTGAGGCCATTCATTCATTCATAACATTGTCATTCTCATTAACTGATAACTTTTTTTTTCTAGTAAAATAATAGTTTTTCTTTGTCCCATATAATATCCCTATGATTTAAGTTCCATTTCTGATTATTTCAGTAATAACGTTGCTGGCTATAGGTAGGTAGGCAACATCGTCAATATAAGAATTATTTATTCATTTACAAACTATTTCTAAGTAGTCCATCAACCAATTTTCTTTAAGTTAATAATTTCAAGTATTTTAACCTTTTATTTTTTCTAGGCTCTTAGTTATCTTGGACTTTTCCTGAACCTTAAAAAATTTTTGACTTTCTTTTCAGTTGAGGAGCCTAGAACTAGCCACTGTGAATATTTTGATCAATGTTAATTGTAATTTTTGAAACTATCAAAATATTGATAACTTTTGACTTTTATGGTACCTATATTGAAAATTTTCTATAAAATTCATTTTGAGAATCATATTAGTTTGTACTGTATTGCACACTTTGGGTCTTAGATATTTTTGTTTTGTGTATAGGAATGCATTCTACATCTTGTATTATTGCAGATAAGTATTAATAATATTTTCTTAGTGTTTTATTAATTTGTCTCTTATTTGCATTGATAATTAAAAATTCAGTGTAACATCAATACTTGTGAGAGAGTTTTTTTTTTTTTTTTTTCTAAGAGGAGAGGGTATGGGTTGGGGATTGTGTTGACATTTTCGAAAATGGTTGGTGTTAAGGAAAGTTCCTGAAAAAGAAGCTATTGGAAAGGAAAAAAAAAGGGCAGTTTGGGCAGTTATCATCCAATGACATTTCCCGTTTTGCCTGAATTAAGAATTATAAAGTATTCATGATTACATGCATGACAGACAGTGCCTTTACACATCTATTTGCTTAGTAAGAAAAGGATGCAGTGCTCAGATCATCGGAGTTAACAAATGCTTTTGCAAGCAGCAGGAGATACACTCTTTATTACCACTTCAGTGATGTTGAAGACTGACGTAGAATGCTGTCAACATGCTTATATAAAAGCTGCTAAAATACATGCTCGTAATTAGACTATTATATGGTAGTATTTAGACATGGAATGATTATTAGAAACAGAGTCTTAATCTAAAGCAGACAGTGAATGACACAAAGTTAGTGAGATTTATAAATTATATTTTGGTTGTTTTGGGCAATTTACCAAAGAATTGGGAGGGTGCAATCACTTGCTTTATTATTATTTTCTGTGTGGCTATAGGCTGCCTTCTATAGTCATCATTGCTGTTCTCTTCCTCCTCCTTCAACTCCTCCTCTTCTCCTCATCCTCTTTCTCTTCCTCCCTCGTTCTCCCTCTCCTTCTCCTTCCCTGTCAATCAGTAAGACTCTGAAAGTATTTCCACTTCTCTTTGACTGACACAAGCTTGAATACAGCATTGCTTGCACAACCTTCTCATATTTTTTATTCCCGACCCCCTCAGCAGAAGTATCATGTTTGTTATGCAGTGGTTCCTTATGATTGCAGGAGACAATAGAAGTGGGGAATGCCTGAATGTGGGAATATGGTTATAAACGAACTGTATATTAGCATTTAAGGCATTATTCTTGTATGGCCATATATTTTCTCTATTGTTATAAGAATAATTGCCTGTGTAGAATCAAGTGATTAATGATGTCCCCTAATAACGATTTCAGAATCTCCAAAAATATTTTGCTTTCTATTTTTAGATATATGGTAATATTAGTGTCAGGAGTGGTGGTTTGTGAATAACTGTGACAAATAGTCTCCAGATGAGTGTTAGACTTTGTTTCAGAACTAATCATCTTAAATTCAAATACCTAATAAAACTAATAAATCAGGTTTGAGGATGAGATGCCATGCTTAATTTAGGAAAGAAAGCCACCTATTTTATTGACTTTTAATACTGCAATCTGCTTTATAATGCCACTACAAAAGTCTGTTTTGTAGTGGAAAATAAATTCTATGTCTTTTTGAATTACTAGCACTTTATATATATATTTTTTTCAGAGCTATCCTCTCTACTCCACTCCCTTTTTTTATAACCTAAACTTTGGAGTTCTAAATTTATTCTAAACTAACAAATGTAGGATAGGTGGTGGCAGTAGGTACATTGAAAATTTTGCTTCTGTGAGACCAAAATTCAAATTATTTTAAACACTTTGCAACAAACCTTAGGCAAATTATGTCAACTGGAGCAATAGCTGTTCAAAACAAAACACATCAAATTCAGTTGCGTTTCATAGGAGTAGGAAAGCTTTGTTAAATTTTTATTGTTTGATCACTTAAATTATTATCTAAACTAGAATTTTTGAAAAACAAACAAAAACTGGAATTGTGCTTGCAAACCGTGACATCTGGTTTCCCTGGTTCTGGAACCTGGAAAGCTGATCCTTTGGCAATTGGTGGAGAATAAATACCCCTTACCTTAAAGAAAACTAACTCAAAGCTTGGGAAATTGACTCTGGTAAAAGGTGGTGATCTTTTAATGTCAATGCTTCTGTAGAGAGATTATAATTTTCATTCTGAAATGAAATTGTAGAAAAATAATGGAATAAATGTGACTAACAGGTAAATCTCCAAACCATCCTATATTCTACTTTGGCTGAGTAAATTTTTGTTCTGTGGCTTATCACCTTGAATAACGATTATATTGGATTATCTTACATGATTTCCTTAGTAGTATATATCACGTTAAATCTTAGAATGTATGTTACTATTGTCAGCCTGCTATCTAGCATCAATTTCATATTGGAATTACCGTAATGAGTAATGATAATTATTTAATATCTTTATATATTATTAAAATGATTCTTCAGTTGCAAAGAAAATGGTCTTCACATAATCTAATACCAGATGTTTTATAATTCTAAAGCTCAGAGAAGAAACGATCTAGCCCTGCTATTTCAGATCTTTCACAGATCCTTAAGTCTCAAGATGAATCAACTTTTTTAGAGAGTTCAAATGAAGTTTCAGTTGCTGAAGACCTAGCCTATAAATTTCCATCAGAGAGCTATGATAAATCACTTGCAACAATATCGTCCAGCAAAGAAATTCAGGATTTGCTGTCTGTTGGAACATTGGCTCAAAAAAATGAAACAGTGATACCACCATTCATTTTACCTCCTGTTCTTACAGAAAATAAAAAGGTATGACACACATAAATACTTGAAAGCTATTTATTTCATATTGCTCCTTCAGTATCCCAAATAAATTCTAACCCATTTAAATGGGTTAATAAATATTTTCTTATTTCGAGAGAACTAAAAGTTTACCTTTTAACACAACCTGCTTTATATTTAGAATGCTGAAAGTAATATTTGGGAAATGTAATAGTATTGTCAACTTATAAAAATTGCTTGATATTGATCAAGAAGTTGTAGGTTACATTATAATTTTAATGGTAAATTAAAATATATTCTGATAAGGAAAATTTTCATATTTTTGCTTCATCTACAAAAAAATTTATACAGTAAGATGATTGTAAAAGCATACTCATTTTCAAATAATTTTATATACCTTTAAACAAGACCTAGAAAATCTTTAGAACTGTTTTGGTTTAAAAGCATTTAATTAGGAAATTCATAGGGCAAAAATGCTGGGAAAAAGAGAAAAGATAAAAGGCTGTACATATGTGATATGTATCCAAAATATATTTTGGTCATACATGTTATTAAGGTATTCCTATCATAATAATCTTGTAAGCCATTTGAGTTCTTCTAAAGATTAAAACAGACTAAAATATAAATCTAAACAAGAAGCAATAATTATTAACATTATTTGGTTAGAACTATTTGCGAGGGAAAATCACATATTGCTTGAGCACCCTCCTTGCTATTCAGTGTTCCCAGTTGCCTCTCAGGCCCATTAATTGTTTTGACTTTTTAATTTGATGCATTCAGGAAATAATGAAAAATAAAATGTTTCTGCAGTGACATTGTAGATGAGAGCAAAAAGCTAACTCTTTTTCTCACAGCAGGTTATTAAACACCAGTTTTGATATATATATATATAAAATTTCTAATTACATATTACAACTTTTGTTATTAAGGCAGATGTTTCAGAAGAACAATTACAACAGAAGACTGAAGAACAAACTTACCAAGCAGCAGAAATATCTCAAGGTAAAAGATTCTGTTTTGGGAGATGAAAATGTGAATGATTATGTGTTACCATGATATAATTATAAATAAATGAGGGGAGAACATTATTAAATATACAAACAACTTGTTAAACAGTCACTGGATAGCATACAAATAAAATGAAAACTATATAAAAATTAAGTTGGTGGGCCAGGTGCTGTGGCTCATGCCTGTAATCCCAGCACTTTGAGAGGTCAAGGTGTGTGGATTGTGAAGTCAGGAGTTCGAGACCAGCCTGACCAACATGGTGAAACTCCATCTTTACTAAAAATACAAAAATTATCCGGGCGTAGTGGCATGCACCAGTAATCCCAGCTACACAGGAGGCTGAGGCAGGAGAATTGCTTGAACCCATGAGGTGATGGTTGCAGTTAGCCGAGATCGCGCCACTGCACTCCAGCCTGGGCAACAGAGCAAGTCTTCATCTCAAAAAAAATAAAATTAAGGTGGTGAGTTATCATTGTATTACTCAGAGAGTCTATTTTAACTAAGATCTGTGTAAAGGGGAGGTGATAGCTTTATTTCAAGCAAATAATAGTATGTGGCATTATGAATTTTTAAAAATTTTTTATTTTTTGAGAAACAGGAGAAGAAGAGAGAAAGAAACAGCTAACTCTTACACTGAGTGAGAGAATCTAGAAAGATGGAATCCAGGAGAGGAAAGCAGCTTCCACACTGAGTGGAAGGGAACAGAGAGAGATGGAGTTTAGGAGGGAAGACAGGCTTCCACGAGAGAGTGTGGAAGGTGACTCCAGAGGGGAAATCCAGGAGAGAGAAACATGGCTTCCACGAGAGAGTGTTCGTGGAAGCTGACCCAAACATGGAGTCCCTATGGATTCTTAATATGACACCCAAAATTAATCTGAGCATAGCAGGAAAAAAAAGATGATTTCTTTATATGTAATATTTTTGCTAGGTTATTTAAGTGTTTGATATACGGTTAAAAGCAAAGATAAATTTGTTCTTTCCAACATATATAATGTTAGTCTCCAATCCATATTTTATTGCATTGACCTAAACTTTTAAAACAAAATTAAATGGCTGTCGTATAGGATGCACTTTTCTATTGTGCTTTGAAGTGGGAATGCCTCTAACTGTTTCATCTGTGATGAGCCATTATCCAAGCTAAATATTTCTTACTATCTAAGGACATTTTCTTTTATCCCAGCAGTTAAGTTGAACTGAATTAACTTAAAAATGTCAAAATATAAAGTATACATAACATAACATTTATCATTTTAACCATCTTTATACAATTCAGTGGCATTAATTACATTCATAATGTTGTGCAACCATCACTAACATCTATTTTCACAACTTTTCATCACCCCAAAAGGAAAATCATTAAACAATAACTCTCATTCCCTGAATTTTCTTGCATTTTGGGTTGCTGTAACAGAATACCACGGACTGGCTAATATAAAGAAAAATGTTTGTTTTATACTTCCGAAGGCTGGGGAGTCCAAGGTCAAGGGACCTGGCTCTGGCTGCAGCCTTCTTGCTGCCTCATCCCACGACAGAAGGCAGAGGCTGAGAGAGCATGAGAGAGCAACGGAAAGGAAGGGGTATGAACTCAGGAATCTACTTTGTGATAATTAACCCCCTCCTAAAATAGTGGCATTAATCTGTTCATGAGGATGACACCCTCATGACCTAATTATGTCTTAAAGAGCCTAACTCCCAACGTTGTTGCACTAGAGATTAAGTTTCTCATACATGAACGAAAGCACATACTGATTTGTATTCTGTAATTGCTGAATTTATATTTTAACTCTAATATTTTTGTGTGGAACCTTTGAAATGTTTTATATATATGAATCATCTGTGAATAAAGACAGTTTTCCTTCTTCTATAATTTGTATGCCCTTTGTTTCTTTTTATTTTCTAATTTCTCTGGCTGGATCTTTTAGTACAGTGTTGAATAACAGTGGTGAAAGCAGACTTCCTCATTTTTTTCCTTATCTTAAGAGGAAAATTGGATTTTGCTATGGTTGAAATGTATACCCTAAAAGTTAATGTGCTGGAAACTTGGTCTCCATTGTAGCAGTGTTAAGAGGTGGGAACTTTGCTATGTGAGTGGATCGTGAAAGTATTGCCACATGAATAAATCAATCCATTTATAGATTAATGGGTTATCAAGAGAATGGGTCTTGTATAAAAGCCAGTTTGTCTGTCTCTTGTGAGCCTCTTTTGCCATGTGATACCCAGAATGGCCTCAGCACTCTTCAGAGAGTCCCCACCAGCAAGGAGACACTCCTCTGATGTGGCCCTTCAACTTTGAAATCCCAGCCTTCTGAACTGTAAGAAATAAATTTCTTTTCTTTGCAAATTACCCAGTCCTAGGTATTCAGTTATAGTAATAGAAAATGGACGAAGGCAGGTATGTTAGATGTGGGTTTTTATAAATATACTTTATCATTTTGTAGAAGTTTTCTTCTGTTCATAGTTTTGTGAGAGTGTTTTTTAAACCACGAAATGGCATCAGATTTTGTCACATGCATTGTTTTGCAACAATTGGGGTGATCACGTGTTTTTTGTCCATTGTTCTATTAATGTGGTGTATTATACTGATTGATTTTCTTAGTTTGAACCACACTTCTATTCCTGTGAATAGAAGTTGTGTATGATTCTTTTAATATGTGAGAAGTTTTGCTTTTGTAGTCATAAAAATATTGCGCTATATGTTTGTAAAAATAATGTATTTTTCTAGGTTCTTGTATCAGGGTAACATTGGTCTTATTTTGGAAGTTTTCCCTCTTCTTTTATGTTTTGGAAGAATGTGAGGAGGATTGGTGTTAATTCTTCTTTAAATATTTGATAGAATTCATCAGTGGGGCCATCTGGTCCTAGACATTCCTTTGCTGGAAGTTTTATGACTACTGGTTCAATGTTCTTACGAGTTACAGGTCTGTTTAGATTTTCTTTCTAGAATTTTTAGTTTAATTTTTTTCTAGATACATATTTGGTGTATATATTTATGGGGAATGTCAGATATTTTGATACTGGCATACAATGCGTAATAATCACAGTAGGATGAATCGGGTGTCCATCAACTCAAGCATTTATCCTTTGTGTACAAACAATACAATTCCACTTTCTTAGTTATTTTAAAATGTACAATTAAATTGTTATTGACTCTAGTCACCCTGTAGTGCTTTCAAATACTAGATCTTATTCATTTTTTCTGTTTTTGTGTACTCATCCTAATTTCCTCCACAAGTGCCCACTGTGCTTACCAGCCTCTGGTCAATCATCCTTCCACTCTCAATCTCCATGAATTCGATTGTTTTAATTTTTAGCCCCCACAAAGAAGTGAAAACATGCAATGTTTGTCTCTCTGTGCCTGACTTATTTCACATAACATAATGTCTTCCAGTTCCATCTATGTTGTTGCACATAAACAGGATCTCATTCTTTCTCTGGCTGAATAGTACTCCATTGCGTATATGTACCACGTTTTCTTTATTCATTGATCTGATGCTGGACACTTGGGCTACCTCCAAATCTGGGCCATTTCATTATTTTGAATATTCTGACTTGTTTTGTGGCCTAACATATGGTCTATGTTTGAGAAGAATCCATGTGGTGAGAAGAAAAATTTATATTCTGGTGCCACTGGAAGAAGTGTTCTGTAAATATCTATTTGGTTTATAGTGTAGATTAAGTATGAGACTTCTTTGTTGATTTTCTGTCTGGATGATCTGTCTAATGCTGAAAGTAAGGTGTTGCAGTCTCCAGCTGTTAGTGTATTTGGGTCTATGTCTTTCTTTAACTCTAATAATATTTGCTTTACATACCTTTGTGCTCCAGTTTTGAGTGCATGTATAATTGTTATATTCTCTTGCTGAATTTACCCCTTTATCATTATATAATGCCCTTCTTTGTCTCTTCTTATAGTATTTATCTTGAAATGTATTTTGTTTGATGTAAGTATAGCTACTCCTGCTGAATTTTTATTTTTTATTACTATGTCTTGGAAAGTTGTTGCAGTTCTATTTATTTGTAATTGGTTCATTATTTAGTCTTTCTATTCAAGAGTATTTTATACATCACAACTACATTGTTATACTACTCTGTTTTTTTTTTTTAATCTGCTACTACTTATGAGTTTTATAGCATCAAATGATTTCTTATTGTTCATTAATGTCTTTTTCTCTCAGATTGAAGAACTCTCTTTAGCATTTCTTATAAGATAGGTCTGTTGTTGACAAAATACCTCAGCTTTTGTTTGTCTGGTTTTTGTTTGGTTTCCATTTGCATGGAATATGCTTTTTTTAATCCCTGTGTTTTTAGTCTATGTGCATCCTTATAGGTGAAGTGTGTTTCTTGCAGACAACCAATCATTGAACCTTGATTTTTTTTCATCTATTTGGCTACTCTGAATCTTTTGATTGGACAGTTTATTCAGTTTACATTCAGTGTTGTTATTGATTCTAAGGACTTAACTCTTGCCCTTTTGTTATTGCCTTTCTGGTTGTTTTGTGGTCTTCCTTTCCTCCCTTTTTGTCTTCATTTTAGTGAAGGTGATTTTCTCTGGTGGCATGTAGTAATTACTTGCCTTTTATTTTTTGTGTATTCGTAGTATATTTTTAGATTTGTGGTTACCATGAGGCTTGCAAATCATATAACCTATTTTAAACTGATGATAACAGTACTGATTGCACAAAGAAACTAACAACAATAACAGAAAAATTAAAGAGCCAAAAGGAAGCTTTTTAGCTTTTTTATTTTTCTCTTTATGACTTATTATTACTATGTCTTGGAAAGTTGTTGTAGTTCTATTTATTTTTAATTGGTTTATTAGTTAGTCTTTCTACTTAAGAGTATTTTACACATCACAATTACATTGTTATGCTACTCTGTGCTTTTCTATCTGCTACTACCTGTGAGTTTTATACTGTCAAATGATTTCTTATTGTTCGTTAATGTCCTTTTCTCTCAGATTGAAGAACTCTATGTAGCATTTCTTATAAGATAGGTCT